GAGACACAGAATCTGAAGCAGGCTCCAGGCTCTGAGCTGTCAGCACAGAGCCCATCGCGGGGCTCAAACTCCCAAACCGCGAGACCATGACCTGAGTCAAAGTTGGACGCCCAACTGACTGAGCCACCCAGGCACCCCCTCATTTACTTTATTAATGCAGAAAATTGTAACATTAATTTCCCTATGTTATACCAGCCTTAGTATTTCTGGAATAAACATGCTTTTTCTATATATGCTGATCTTACTAATATTTTCTTTAAGTTGTTTCATTCATGCTCATGACTGAGATTCCCTTGTACTTTTCCTTTCTCTTAATATCCTTGTTGAGCTTTGTTATTATAAGGTTATGCCGGCTTGGTGAAATGATTTGGGAAACATACATTCTGTTCTCTGGAAGAATTTGTGATTGGAGTTTTTTATTCTTCAAACTGTCCCTCATGTATTTAATATTGTAGTGAGTGAGTAAAACTACATAGTAAGGTAGATAGTGGTGAGAGCTACAGGGGGCACCAAGCAGTGACGCAGTTGCAATGTTCAGGTGAACATTGGAATTTTATATCACTGGCCAGGTGTCCCTGAGGAGGTGACTACGAGTGAAGATTTGGCGGAAACACATTCTGGAAGTGGTCAAACAAGCACAAAGGCTCGAAATCTAGAAAACAGCAAGAAGGTCATCGTGGCTAGAGGAGAGAGAACAAGGCAGAGAGTAGATGGGGGGGTGGGAAGTTGGAGGCAGGGCTGGGCCAGACTGTTTAGGACTCTCGGGTCATAGTAAAAACTTCAGGTTTCATCCTGAGATGGGAGGCCATGGGGGTAGTTTAAACAAAGGAATGACATTATCTGATCACCCGTGAACAATAGCTCTCTGCTGACTCTTTGAGAACAGACTTCTGGGAGAGTTAGGGCAGAAGCATGTCGACCAGTTAGGAGACTGTTAGGATAATCCAGACAAGAATGATGGTGGCTTGGACCAGGATGGCAGCTGTAGGGCTGGTGAGTGTGGTCAAAGTCTGGGTAAATTTGGTATAAGAGATGGTAAGAATTGTGCCGACAGATACACAGTAGTGTGTGAAAGGAAGACAGAAGTCAAGAATGGCTCCAAGGTTTTTTGTCCTGACAGCCAGAAGAATGTAGTAGTCCTTGACTGAGGTGAGAAAAGCATTAAGAAGGGCCCTTTTCTAAGAGAGTATCAGGATCTTGGGTTTGGATACGCTTTAGTTGACATGCCTGTTAGGCATCCAAGTCCATCTATAAAATAGGCAATTGTATATATTGGTCTGAGGTAGGGAGAGGCCCAGTCTAGAGATAAAATTCAGGAGTCAGTTCATGGCTGGGAAGGAAATAACCAAAGGAACAAAGATATGTCAGAGAGAAGAGCTGCACAGACTGAACCGTGAAATACAGAAATCAGGAGATTGGGAGACAAAGAGGGGAGCAGAAAAAAAAAAAATTTTTAACGTTTGTGAATTTTTGAGAGACAGCGAGCGAACCAGTGTGGGGAGGGTCTGATTGGGGGCAGGGGGGACAGGATTTGAAGTGATCTCTGTGCTGAGAGCCTCAGAGCTAGAAATTTAGAAGGAAAACCAGACAAGTATGGTTTCCTGGAAGTAAAGAGAGTTATCAGCAGTGTCACATGCTCTCATGAGGTAAAGTAAGCTAGGCACGAACAGTGACCACTCTGTTTAGTAACATGAGGGTCATTTCATCTTAAACTTCACATGGAAGTTGGGAAAAGCCAAGGAAAGTGTGAAGAATTGTGACTAGGTCTTGCCTCTTACCAGATAGGAGAACATGCTAGGTATGCTATGTATATTATAAATAGGTCAGTGATGGATTGATCTTGCAATGGACAAAAGAGACCACAATTGAAAACCCACAAGGTTTGTGTTTGTAAATATTTATTGTATGGAAGATAAATATGTAAATATTTATCTCAGTGTTTGTAAATATTTATTGTATGGAAGACATAGTTCTCTTCAGATGAAGGGTGGATTATTTAATGGGGCCAGCCCAACTGGATATCCTTTTGGAAGAAAATGAGTCCTGAAAGGATTAAACACTTGGACTTTAAAATAAGGGATAAAACAATAGCCATCTTGCAAGAAAAGGAAAAAAAAAAAAAAAGAGAGAGACCACATACACTGTCTGGGTGAGGTATTGTACCCAGACCTCATGCCCTAAAAATAAAAAGGAAATTAGCGAGAAAACAACAAACATATTCATAGAACAATGAGTAAGAGCTGTGAACAAACTAAGCTGCTTGAGCACATTTAATTGGCCAACAGACTTAAGAAAAATGCTTAAGTTTATTAGCATTCGGGGAAACAAATCAATGAATATTGATCATTGGCAGAAAAGTAAAAGAACAAATATCTGTTGCTAATGGTGATGTGAGGGAAAGAGGATCCTTATACCTTGTAGATCTGATTCCTCTGTAATATTGCTACTGTGGATTCTACTCAGGAAGAAACAGGTTGTAATGAAAAGTTTGGCTTGGGGGCGCCTGGGTGGCTCAGTCGGTTAAGCGTCCGACTTCAGCCCAGGTCACGATCTCGCGGTCCGTGAGTTCAAGCCCCGCGTCGGGCTCTGGGCTGATGGCTCAGAGCCTGGAGCCTGCTTCCGATTCTGTGTCTCCCTCTCTCTCTGACCCTCCCCCATTCATGCTCTGTCTCTCTCTGTCTCAAAAATAAATAAACGTTAAAAAAAAAAAAATTTAAAAAAAAAAAAAAAAAAAAAAG